GGGCCTCCCACACCCAGCACCACTCACTCAGTTCAGCTGGGGGTTATAGGTTGACCACCAGTTATCAATCCACTACAAGCTCTTTCCCTGGAAGTCATGATATCAGAATCAAAGTCACCCCATCAGAGAGCTGGGCTACAATCTATGCCCAAAGTGGAGGTTCTCTACTTGTCTTTCTGAGGCAGTACAATCTCTGCAACCTGTTGTTCAGCCTCTGAGGGCTCCTACACCTGCTGGGTGAAAGTGCCATCACTGTTCTTCATGAGGAAACAAGGCCCATCCCACTGCATGGGACAATTCCTGGTTCCAACTCAGACCAATCTAGCCAGTTCCAGATTAACAGCAGCAATACAATGGGGATTTGGGATCATGAGAAGGAAAGATGCTTTTAGCCCAGTTTAAGCCTGAAAAGTCCTCAGGAGCAAATAGTCTGCAAGTTAGTCATGAATAAACAAAACTATCTCATGTCTTGGCCATAGAGTCACGAATGCCACCAGTCATTTACTGGTCATCCAGCTGAGTCACTTCTGAGAAGCAAGCTTTGAGTGGCCATATATCTTATCTTATCTACCCTCAGTGCAGTCAACCAGACCTGTCCCTTCATGGATATATCAAGTCAAATGTGTGTCTCAGGGTGGCAAATTCCTCACTGTTCCAGAAAGTGTAGAAAACTATTTGTAGCTAGTGACCTAAACTTGGAATATTATTGGCCTTTCCAGTGGGATACAAGTGACACCAGAAGTGTCCCCGTCTTTTCCTCCTTCCTGCAGTACAGTTATTTTGAAACTGTGCCTATGTTATCCTCTGGAGTGGTAGAAGTCATACTTAGGAGGGTTTCTTAGACACTTTCAGCGAAATTGTTCTTTGAGCACAAGAAATTACTGTACCACACCAGAGAGCTCATGTGTGAACTGATAATGATCCACCATAATTGCAAATTTTTTCTTTGAAGTCTCGTGTTTACCTTAAAAGTTTACATATTCTAAATTATGTATGCCCTTTTCAATATAAAAGCAACAATATTACAAATTGTTTAATATCATTTTAGCTGATGTTCTAGGAAAGTGCACAGGCTTCCCTCTCATAGATAATCTTGCATGGCTTGAGAAAAAAGGATAATTTTCATAAAAGCCTTTGAAAGAAGGACATAATAACTCATGTTAGTAAATGGTCATTAGTTTGTTGAATTGAACAGCTATGCTTATAAGGTGCTCCACAGAGATAGGAATAAAATACAAAAGAGAGAGAGAGAGAGAGAATGAAAGGCGGACAAGAGATGTTCTTTGTGTTCTTATCCAGAAGAAAAACAAAAATGCTGAAGAAATTCTATACTGTACTCCCATGGAAACACCAGGTATGATTTAGGATTCAAGTAGGTGGCTGGTTCTTCAGCACTTGCAAGTCTGAACTGGACTTTCATAGATAATTTTATCTCTCCCTGAGACAAATGACTATGATCCAGCCACATACAACTTGCCCTGTGCTCCCATCTGCCAGTGACTCATTAGCAGACAAATTCATGTTTAGCATTTGAATTCATCACCCAAGTCCTGCGTGCAATCTTCTTTGATGGATGTGCAGGAAAGGCAACTGCCACAGCCAGTTTCCACATAATCAAAAGGTATAGGGTCTGGAGTTGGAGAGGGAGAACATGCTGGGTGCTGGATGAATTTAAGTCTAGTTGATATTAATACAGTCATGCTCATGTGGTTCATTAAGATCTATGGATAGGATTTATGTTTTACTACAAACCCAAACCAAATACACAAGAACTTGGTATGCAGACCCAAATAACAAAGCGCCAATTATTGTTGGTCCTGATATGACAGTGCCAAAGGTCCAACTTCTTTCAGGATCTCCAGCCTCTTCCCCTAAATAAAGGTTTGAATAGAATTAGAACCATGCCTACCTATGACGTCTGCCCTGATGGAAAGTCCAACTGTAATGTCTCAACATCTCTATAATTTTTCATGGTTCATTTCCTCCTTTAGTGCTATCTTAAATCAGAGTTTAGAAGCATAGCTCAACATGGAGATTCACTTGGAAGTAACTTGTTGATATAGGAGAAAGGGAGGGAAGGGGGGTGAGGGTGTAGAAAGGAGGGTGAGAGTGTAGCCTCAGCTGGAGTCACGCCTCAGTTTGATCCCACAGGGAGCTTTACAGCATGGATTGTACCATAGAGTTGCCTCCCTCCTTTGGAGGCAAAGGGTCCTTTTGTACCCCATGCATCAGTCAATCATTGGCTGTGACCCAACAGCAAGGGCCAGGGAGTTGCATAACTTCTCAGGCAATTCTGGGCTAGGCAACTCCCATTTGGCCAAGGGTGATTATCCAAAGAAAGAGGCAGCTGTAAGCCATTAACAGGCAAACTCATATGTAGTACTGGGATCAGGAACATTAGCCTGGTAAAGGGGATTTGGGTGGGTCAACAATAGCAACTCTATACTTACCATCCTAATTCATCCTGAAAAATATTCCTAAGGGCAGTGTTTAGCCCCCTAAGGGTCAATTTGAAGCAATTCTAGTATATCAGGATATAATAACACACTAATTTATAATATTTGTTAAAAGCCCACTGTGTGCTAAGCACTTTAAATGCATCATGCTTGCACAATAATCTTAAAAGATAGGAACTTTTATTTGCCATCCATTAGCTATACAAAAAAATGGAAGTTTGGGGTGATTAAAGAGCTAACCAAGCTATTAAGCAGCAGTTCAAAGTTAGGACCCCATTTTCTTCACACTAAATTATAAACACCTCTTGCTTAGTGCTGAAAACTAAGAGACACAGAGAGAAAAATATTCTCAGAGCTAAAGTAGTAAATTTCATTCATATAAAATACCACACCCAACTAGGTGAGGAAAAAAATCCTTTGAATAATGGATACAAGAGTTTGAGAATAGTTAATACTCTTTGTGTATGTGTATATGTGAATTTCAAAAACATATTGCAGATTCATCCACAGAGTTGATGTTCACCATGTGAACTTTCATCATTTAAATCCCATGAAAGCACAGTTGCATAAGACATGATTCTGTGCCAAAGGAAATAATAGCAAACATTCATGCCTCTCTTTCTGTGTGCTCTAAGGAGTTTACATGGATCATATCATATAATACTTGGAACCATGTCATGAGGTAGCCCCATTTTTAGATAAGGAAACTGAGGCCCAGATAGAATAACTATTATATCTGAGGAATGTAGCTAGACACTGTCAGGGCCAGATTTCAGAGTGAGCCCTTGGGCTTTAGACTTTCATTGATACTGCTGAAAGAGTCATGGACAGTTGGAGCTCAGATTCATTTTGGGTAAACCAACTATTTCAACTCAGAGATGAGGAAATTGAGACCCAGAAAGAGCTGGTGACTTGCCCAAGCTCACACAGACCCCAGACACTCAATACTCATGACGGTGCTATCCTTATTCTTTGACAAGTATTACATATAAGCCAGAATCAGTACCATCTACTTAACAGGAGGTTAGGAATGCACTTCAAATGTTTGAAATCTCTTTTCACTTCTATTCTTGGTAAGAGATAATACCAATAGTTGTTTTAGAAGACCGAAAAGAAACAACAGCGTTCTGTCTGGCCTCAGGCAAATCTAATTCCTATTTCTGCCCATGGACGTGAGTCTCTCACCCACAAAGGTCTGTGTTTTAGAAATGCTATTCTCTTTCTAGGTGGACCTGTAAAATCCAGTCTGGGAGTATATCTTGTTAGAGAAATGGTAGGAGACAAGAATCACTATTTATTACTGATAGGTTCCTGCCCGAGTACGAATTGTTGAATCATTATGGTGCTGATCTAACATGGCTGAAGCCCAAAAACAACAGCCTATCTTCCAAATGACCACTTCCCCGCTTCTTCTCCCCTCAGCCATGAATACAACTTCCTCTTACCGTTCTGCACAGCAAGCGCACGGGCAAGGGAAGCCCCAATCAGCTCCTGAAGTGTTACTGAGCCTGCCCCTCAAGCTCCGCCTCTAGCCAGAGTCCTCAGCCCCCAGCCTCCTTTGTTTACCTCGGAGGAGCTCTGTGGCGCATGCAGTCTCTCTTCTCCGTGTTAGGAGTAAAATCCTTCTTTCCCCCTTTTTTGTTTCTTCTTCTGCGTTGAAAACCTAACAATGATATACTTAGTAAATGCCAAACCCAGCGCTCATAGCTCTATATGAGCTACGTAAATTATCCATAGAATTATCACTGGAATCAGATGTATATCCATGAGCATCTGATGCATTAACATACCAAATCAAAAAGTAGTGGTTTAATTAAAAGACAACAGTTTATTGTTGCTGATGAGTATCTGGATCAACTGGAAGCTTCTACTAAGCCATGCCAAGCTTAAATGATGTTGGGGAGATTCACCCATGTTCCTGGAGGTAGCTGCTGATTTAGCCGGGAGCTGGCGTATCTAGGATGCTCTCAGCTGAAATGGTTCGTTTTTGTTCCATATCCTACAGAATTATATTCCAGACTTGTTCCCACAGTAGTGGCAGAGGAGACCAAGTGAAGCACAGGAGATTTTGAGATGTACAGTCAGAATGGGCTTAGCATCTCCTCTCCATTCTCCTCACTAGATCATGCTGCAAGTCTTGCTATTTTCACAAAGAAGGAAACAGATGCCACCTCTCCTATAGAAATGACCTACAAGTTCACATTGTCAGTGGCAGGGACACAGACAAGGCTAGAAAACTAGAGAAACTTTTAGAATCAACCAATCACAAATATCTTGGAACATATAGTTCAGATCATTTTGTTCTGGATAGTGAATGTTTACATTTTTAAAATTTATCACAGTAAAAACTACGTTGCCATTAATCTCCTTGAAAATATTCCCTCTCCCTTCAAATGCACTTGTCCCATCATTCCTGCCACCTTCTGAAGCAGTTCTGGAAGTTTTCTTTTCTGAGTGTCTTTAATTTTGCTGTCATGGCTGCACTGAGTCTGAAATCAGTTCAAAACACTTAACTTTCATGGTCATTTTGGCTTTTGGGGAGAACCAGAAGTCACACAGGGCCAGATCCAAGGAATAAAGTAGATAAGGACACTGCTTAATATTTTTACAAGCCTGCCTTCCTGTTGGATGACACTTAGTAGCATTCACTGTATTTTTGATCACAACTCATAAAAACACTTATGAAAGAAGACTTCCAGAACTGCTTCAGAAAGTGGAAAGAATGAAGGGATAAACATGTTTGAAGCAAAGAGGAGTATTTTGAGAGAGATTAGTGGCATTGTGTCTTACTATAATAATTATTTAAACAGACACCCTACTTTTTCACCATCCCTTTTATATTTTCCCCCAAAAGTATGTATCTCTCTCACATATTGAGTCTACTTTTGAAGATATTTGTGTTTCCTTTACATAACTTATGGAAAAGTCAAAAAGCGTTATTGCTCGATTTAAAATGGAATATGCAATTTTTAATTTACCCAAGCAAGACCAATGACCTAGCAAAAGTCCTTGCTGGGGCTGGGAATTTAGCTCAGAGGCAAAGCGCCTGCCTGGCAAGCACAAGGTCATGAGTTCAATTCCTGGTACCAGAAGAAAAACAAAAACAAAAACAAGTCCTTGAATTTTTATTCCAAACCTCAGCACATAGAGCTAACTCTATATATCTTCTATCCTAGGTATTATCCACTGTATCACTTACTGGTTGATAGAGAGGAAAACAGGAAGCCCGCTTGTTGGTGAGAGAGTAGCTCGGTAACCTAGGAGTAGCCCCAAGGAAACTCCTGCAGCTTCACCCAAAATAGAAACACGCCTTTTCCTGGTGTTTTGTTTTGCAAACAGAAAGACAGTCCCACTAGAAACAAAACAAAATCTCCAAATCAGAGATTAGAGGTAGCTTTTATCCTGTATGTAACTCTAGTTGGCTAGCAAGAGCTGCAAAAAGTAAGGTGAAAAGAAAATACGTATTAGGTTTCAAGTCTTTTTTTAACAAAATTAGATTATGAAAATTTTTCAGCAGAGGAAATATGGTTGTGCAGTGACAGATTTTCGTGACTAGGCTAGCTTCACAAGGTTAACTGACTTTCATCCCTTTACCCTCTCTCCTAGTATTTCTTTCTCTCAAATTCTCTCTTGGCTATTTTGAGAAAGACAAATACAGCACAGCTGTGATTACCTGTTGAGTTTTACCCTAGTTCTGGGGGATGGATACAGCTTGAATTTTCAGTCCTTTGCAAGTAGGTAGATGACAAAGATTCAGAAGAAAGTTAGTAGATCTATGGGAAGGACAATCAACCCAACGGTAAAAATACTGACTCAGACCAAATCTAAATGTAGGAAGAATGGTCAGAACCCCAGAAATAATTGAAGAACATTGCAGCAGAACATAAACTCTCTTTGTTCATACCTGGCTATGTTTATATATTTCTCAAATAGCATCATCAAGCTTCTGAGTCGGGAAAGATCTGAGGCTAGCCCCAGAAGGTCAGTATCTGAGTTTACCTGAGAAGAAATATCTTGGACCAAGATTAAGTCTCATCAACAGTAAAGGAATGCGCAAAACCACAAGGTAGAGTGACAAAGCCACAATACAATGAGTTCAAACTATGTCTTTGGCTCTTGCAATTATGAAAATTTAACATCCCTCTCACAGTCTCAAAAGAGACAGAATATGCCAATCTTAAAGTGTATGATAAGAACTAAATGTGCTAATACATAGCACATACAGACTAATAACTGGAACTCAGTCCAGCCTCCCTTAACTGTAACCATAATTAACAATGACAAACTGCAAAAGCCATAACCATAATTTTATATGTATGTATAACTGTATATAATAACATAGGCAAATTTACTCTCTACTGTATGCTGGGAATTGCATTCCATGCTACATGTAAACAACAGAGAAATACAAGACATAAAGACACATTCTTTACCTTTGAGAAATGCAGACAAAGTGAACACATAAGAAATCTATTAGAGCTAAGGAGACCAGTGTAGAAAATGCTCAAACAGACTGAGAATACCAGAAGTCTAGGATCACTGCTCCCATTTCTTGCCAAAAACACCAATTAGTTTCACGAGCATGCTGACAGCTCCCTTCTCATAGGACGATTATTTGCAGTGACTTAACCATACAAACTTGTTTCATCTGATTTTTTCAATATTTTTATCTGGACCTTGAGGGTCAACAGATCATTTTGTCTGACAGATGTAAAGGACAAACCATCTTTAGCTAAAGAGAATGAGGCTACCACCTATCAAGTCGGTGCCCAGCTTTTATTTTTGATATCATCATCACCCACAAGTGGTACCTTGGGCCCTCACTGAGGTAGAATAAAGTGACAACAGGCCAAGGCCTGATGCTTTCAAAATTTTCCCCTTGGTGCCAATGCTGCTGAATAATCATCCTTTCTTTCCATTACTGAGATGTCATTATGCAGGCAAAGCATGTTCTCAGTTGCCCACAGCAGGCTAGAGGCAGGAGGAGACATTGTTCAAAGATAATTCATGTCCTCTTAAATGTCAAAATTTAACTCACGTGCTTCAGCCACCGCCTCGCCCAGTCACCAGCTGGGAAATTCATCTGAGCTAGCATCTCTCACTGTGAATGGTAGTGAGGGAAAGAGATCACCATGCCCCACCAAACAGCAGGAAACAATGACTGCACCATGAAGGTGAAGACCTTTGTCAGATCACAGCGCAGAAGTGATTGCAATTAATTGCTGATAAAATATGAAGGAGCCTCTTGTTGCTGGAGGTCAGGAGCTAGGATGAAGGACAGTACAACCCTTTCCTGAGAAGCTTGGGAGTGGCATGACTCAGAACCATGTTTGTGAGAAGATAGAATCCTTCATCCATGCTGTGGGTGTTTCAGAAGAAACAATAATCTAGGGCCATAGAAGACTAAGAGAAAAGTCAAATGGTGGATCGACGAGCAACCACCCAGACCAACATGGCCCCTCCAACAGAAAGCTGCAACCAAATTATGATGCCCCAATGAAATTAAAAAATAAGTTGGTAGCAAGACAGCAAATTCCACAGCTGTTGGGTTGTCACAAGAGTTCAAGTAGATGAACCATGTAAATGCAGCTGAAGTTACCATCAATGTACTTTTAGAAGTATTTGGAATATAGCCTGGGTGTCTTTCACTCTAAGATGACATTTAAATTTTGTTAATCCAAATGTGCAAAGAAGAAGGTAGA